TCACCATAATCATAATTCTCCCACAACATACTTGTTTTCTTTTCTTTCAGTTGTAAAGAGTCAAGCATATTCATGATTTCTATTTCCTTCTGTGCAGTCATTTGATGAGGCAGAACTCAAGCTCCTTGGAAGGAACCACACAGCTTGTGATGCTTTGAGAACTTTAGAAGAAGCCAAGAGACTCTTTCCAGGGCAGATATCTATTGACTTAATTTTTGGTCTCCCGGGGCAAACAGTTGCCTCCTGGATCCAGGGTTTGGAGAAAATGCTTGCAATATGTGATGATCATATATCCATTTACCAGCTGACTCTAGAAAGGGGCACATCTCTCTTCAAGCAAGTCCATCAGGGCTTTCTGCCCATAATCAATGAGGATATCGTATCAGAGATGTATGAGTGTGCACGACATGTTCTACAGAATTCAGGTTTTCATCAGTATGAAGTCTCCAATTTTTCAAGGAATGTAAGTCTTTTCCTTTAGCTAAACCTTGTGTCGTACAACTCAGTAAAAGGAAGTAGGCCAAAGTAATTCAGAAGGTTCTGGTAATGAAACAAGATTTTTTTTCGCTCTCTCTCTCTCTCTGTATTTGAAAGAGAATACAAATTTAGTCCTTCTGCCTAAGTGAAAGGAATATAATTTGAGGATGGCTTAGTAGGATTTTTTCACAATAGTATAACCAGATGAGTAAGATCCAGGTCTTACTTCCTATCTCAGGAGAGAATGGTGAAAAGGCTGTTACTAGAAAGAAAAAAAGAGCACACTTGATCTAATAAATGTGAAGCTCAGTGAGGTGCCACAGGTTCTTAAGAACCACTCATTAAAGGTTGTTGCTCTAATACAGGGATTCTCAACCTCAGCAACTTTAAGATGTATGGAATTCAACTCCCAGAATTCCTCAGCCAGCATGCTGGCTGGGGAATTCTGGGAGTTGAAGTCCACACATCTTAAATTTGCTGAGGCTAAGAATCCCTGCTCTAATATAATGTAACAAACATTTGTGTGCAAACCTGCAGTTCCTTAGCAGTTTTGTTGTTGTTTCTGCAGGGGGCCTTTAGTACTCACAACCTCTCTTATTGGCAAGGAGGCCAATATATTGGCATAGGACCAGGTAAGCTTATTTGGGGAGATGATGGGGGCTAAGTGCTGCACCAGCTTCTTGAGTTGGTTCCCCTACAATGTTTTCCAGTGAGTACAATTTGAACGTTGGGTTTTTTTTTAATGAATAAGGGGAGATTGGAAAGTAAGCCCTCCTCAGCTAAAAAATGATGTTGCTGAGTAGTTGCCTAATCATTTCTCCTTAGATAGGCACTATCTAAACAGCAGCAATAAGTCGTTCAGAACAGTCTCCTCCTTTCCCAGGAGGCCATGGGCGATTTGTGCCATGGGGAGATGGTAAGATCCATCGAGAGGCAAGAATACAGACTTTGGAACCAGATATATGGATGAAAGAAGTACTGGCCTTTGGGCATGGGACCCGGAAGCAGACTCCACTCAGGGAGCTGGATATGTATGTAAGAAGAAATGTTCTCCACAGATAAGCCGCTCCTTATCATTTCCTTTCTTTAAGTATATGTGGTATTCCTGAAAACTCAGCCTAATTAATGAGCTCATGAACCATCATTTTACATCCCACATTACATCCATATTGTTTTGTACCCAGAGCCTGTCATGTATTTGAATTTCAGTTTCCATAAATCCAAAATGCTAAACTCCATATAAATCTTAGCCTATACCTGCTTTTTGGGGCTTTATAAAATTTATCTCTCTCTGTTCTCCTTTTCTGGCATGGCTTTTTTAGTTTATAACTCTGATTGTGTTATTGAAATATTTTAAAAATATTGAAGAGATGCTTTGGAAGGAATAAATGTCTGAAAAGTATAACAAAAATATGATTGTTACTAAACATGCCACATTTGCTTAACCTCCCACAATTTGGGGATAATAATAATTTTCTTATAGAATTGTAAATTTTATTCAAAGCAAATATATATACTTATATTATTGAAAACAGATGTAGTAGATGAAGCCACCTTCAGTACAGGTGCTGCCCTGGCTAATGTATTAAAATCATTGATTATTTCCCTTTTTCCCACTGTTGTTGCCACAAATATCTGTTTATCAAAGTTCTAATGGCTGTGTTGCTTCAAAGTTTGGGATCTTCCATCTGTTTTCTTCATAGACTAGAGGAGGTTTTGATGCTGGGACTCCGTATGGATGTAGGAATCACTCACCAGGTATAGTTCCTATATCTTAGTGTGGCAGCTGTTCATGCATCTGACTCAATAGATTTGAAACATTTATTGCCATAATTCCAGAGTGCTTGGCAAAAATGACTTATTCCTCATTATTTCTTTGTGTTATGTGTCTTTCCAGTTAATTAGTCCTCAGTTAATGACCACTTGTTCAGCGACTGTTCAAAGTTACGACACTGCTGAATGAGTGGTGGTTATGACCAGTCCTCAAAGTTCCAGCCATCCCAGCATCCTCACAGTCACATGTTCATGATCTGGGGACTTGGCAACCAGTTAGCACTTACAGTGGTTGCAGCATCCCGTGGTCACGTGATAACGATTTGCGACCTTCCCTGCCGGGTTCCCACAAGCAAAATCAATGGGGAAGCTGGCAGGGAAGGTTGCAAGTTGCTTGGGTAAGTCTCCCCCATCCGCGTACCCTCCCCAAGCCTCACTATGCTTGTGCTGTGACTCCCCGGCTATTTGCACACCCTTCCTGGCCACTTGCACACCCTCTCCCACCCAACCAAAACTCGCGCTTGCACCACACCCCCACGCCACTCACATGTGCCCTCTCCCACCCGATAGCAGCCACCCCAAGCTGCACTGTGCTCACGCTGTGCCTCCCCCGCCACTCGTACACCCTCTTGCACCTTTCCCCACTTGGCAACAGCCACTTACCTGCCTGCCTGCTGGCATGCCACCTGGGAGTTGCAATTTCCTGCCAGCTTCCCCATTGACTTTGGTTGTTGGAAACCAGCAGGAAGTTGTGAAGAGGTGCTCGCTTAATGACCCATGATCCTTGCTTAACAACAGCAACAGGGACTGCAGGGATTGCTGTCGCTAAGTGATGCAGTCACATGACATCACACTTTATGACCAGGTCTCTTAGTGATGGAAATTTCAGTTCCAATTGCCATTGTAACTCCAGGACTACTTGTAGTCAGTGCTAGAGATGGCAGGGGATAAATAGCACATAACTAGTTTCTAGGCCTTGTTTTGGAAACATGACCTGTGATTGCTAAATGCACAGGGACTGGAAGAGATCCTTCTGGGATTTCCAAAAAACATGAGATTGGACTTTAGGATCTGCATAGCTTTGCTTAATTTCTTTGAACCCAGCTTACTTTTGTAAAATAGTTCATTTCAAATTGTTCTTTTCAATGATCTATTAAAGATAGGACCAAAAGTGATGCTTGACTGAAGTTTGTTACCAAAAAATGATGATTGCAAGCATTTGCAGTGTTTAAAATGGCTTTCTGCCAGGCGTATCTTGCAAAAAATATAGCAGAAAAGGAAGGTTTTAGTTAGACAGAAGTCCAAATTACAGTGATGGAGATCCTAGCTAGAGTTGAGCTCTATAAGATTATTTTCAAAACAGTTGAGGGGCTGAGAAATTCATTAAGATTACTTTTTAAGAAGCATATCTCCTAGCATTCATTTGTGTATTGTTAAATTAGCCCCCAAATTAGTTCTTCAGTTGAAAAATAGGCTTGTAAAAACTCAGTTTTCAAGAGCAGGTTTTTCTGTTTATAGCACTGGTTGCAGTTTGCCCCCAGCCTCAGTCTGTGGGATGTGTTTGGTGAAGCAAGAGAAGTCAAAGAGCTGGAAGAGCATGGGTTACTTTTTCTGGACAACAGGTAAGGGGGCTGGGGATTCATATATCTTAGGAAGAAGATAATGTTATAACTGGAGGAAGATTCACCTATGTCTTTCTTTGGTGACAATTATTTCTTTTTGTAGGGGGCTTAGGTGCTCTTGGAAAGGTCTGGCTGTGCTTGATTCTCTACTGCTCACACTCCTGAAGCAGCTCCAACAGGCATGGATGGAGAGGGAAACATTCAGTGGAATGTGAACTAGCTACCAATGGAACTTTTATATTGGAGGTTAAAGAGCTTTCAGATATGGTTTATAGTCTGGAAGATTATTCCAATGCAAAGGTCACACCCCAAGACATGATTGTTTCTTAAATGAAGCCGGTGAGTTGATTGTGTTGTCATGCCACTGGATACAGGGTTTGCTCTGAACTAAACAATTACTGCATCCGTGGCTTTTGTCTCTTTATACTAAGATGAAAAATATCTGTTATTCTAGTGTCATTGTGGCTTGTACTGGAAATAAATGAAGCATGAAATATCTTTACGCTCCATAAATAAATGGATTATACAGGAACTGGTTTTCATTAACCAAAATCTTCCACTTTTGTAAGTACTAAATAAAGGAATGTTTCTGAGGGAAGAATTGACTGTGAAGATAATAAAAGATTTTTATGTTGTAACTACAGGGCCACTTCTCATGCACAGGGTGCAGTTCTGCTCAGTATAACTAGAATGCCTTTGGGCTATTCCTTACACGCAAAAGCTACTAATGCTTCTAGGACAATAACTTGCTACACAACATTCCGCTACATTTATAATCCCAAGATTTGATTCACATTTGACCTATTATGCTCCCAAATGAAATTCCAAACCCTATTGTGGGCACATTCTGAATTAGTTTAAGCAGCCTGTTGTGCTGCTTTTCTTTATGATTAATTCCATGCAACTCATTCTTGATAATGCATCTTATTGAAGTTATTGGAATGCGGGCAGTCCTCGAGTTACGATGGCAATCGGGACCGAGATTTCTGTTGCTAAGCAATGTGGTTGTAAAGCGCAACATCACGTGACCACATCACTTAGCGACAGCAATCCCTGCAATCCCTATTGCCATCGTTAAGCAAGGTTCGTGGGTTGTTAAGCAAACACCTCCTTGCAACTTCCTGCCTGCTTCCAACAGCCAAGTTAGTGAGGAAGGTGGCACAAAGTTGCAACTCCAGGTGGCTTGCCAGCAGGCAGGTAAATGGCTGCTGCTGGGTGGGAGAGGGAGCAAAGGGGTGCGTGGGTAGCTGGGGAGGCATGGCACGAGTGTAGCAGGGCTTGGGGTGGTTGCTGCTTGGTGGGGGAGGTGCGCACAATGCACAAGTGGCCAGGGAGGGTTTCAAGAGTGGCCGGGGAGGTGTGGCACAAGCAAAGCTAGGCTTGGGGAGGGTATGTGAGGGTGTGCGGGTGGCCAGCATGGTGTGAGCATAAAGGGGCTGGGGGAGGGTGTGCGGGTGGGGGAGACTTACCTGAGCAACTTGCAACCGTCCCTGCCAGCTTCCCCATTGACTTTGCTTGTGGGAAGCTGTCAGAGAAGTTTGCAACTCACAACTATGTGACTGCAGGATGCTGCAGCCATCATAATTGCGAGCCAGTTGCCAAGCACCCAAATTGCAATCATGTGACCATGGGGTGCTGGGAAGGCCAGAACTTTGAGGACTGGTTGTAACCACCACTCATTCAGCATCACTGTAACTTCAAATGGTCACTGAACGAGTGGTTGTTAACTAAGGACTACCAGTACAGGATATTTCAGACAAGAATCTTTCTTAACTTTGCCTAGACAGCCAAGATTGAACCTGGAAACATATGGTAGAAACATATCATTTGCATTAAAAGCATTCTCTAAACCACATTAACTGTTTGGTTGTAGATTGAGTAATTGAGCACTTCTCTTGGTCTGAATAATCCGTGAACATCTGGATTTATTGGTATCCTTATGTTATGCTAGATACATTGTTGAGTACGTCCCTGAAAATTGTCTCAAGTGAAATGCATTTATTATTTCTCTACCATGAAACAGTTGTAACATTTTAGGCATATCAAGCTTCTGTACAAAGTTTGATATAGATTATACGGAACAGTTATAAACTATATTACAGTAGCTGGTTCTGCTGTGAGATGATATATTTTGAATCTTTGTTCTGTATAGACATGGCAGAAGTTATCTTTTTAAAATACTTATGATTTATTTAAATTCTCCATATGCTATTATCACATACATGGACAATGAGAATGCAAACATTTCTGTTATTAAAATCTTCTACTTTAGAGATGAGGCTGAAAATCATAGCTTTATCGTTCTAGAAGCAAGTGGCTCAGTGTTCTCCTTGTATGTTCTAGAGCTACTTTTCCTAGACTTAGTATTATGCATTCGTGGGCCATCACATTTTACTTTTTAAATCTATTCCATGAGGTATTCATATGACAAATATAAATAGCATATTATTCATACAGCATGCTCTTTGAAGTGAAAAATATCACTAAAGTAAGTTCTAAAATATTTTTAAATTGTCTGTTCTATAGTATTGGTACCTGTTATGGAGAAATAACTTAAGCTGTAGAAAGTGCTTCTGGATATTGTAAATCTTTTGTTTCTATCAGCCTAGGGCCCATTGAAGATAGTAAGGGAATGTGGCAACTGCAGTACAACATCTGGAGGCCCACACATTACCCATTCCTGGTCTAAGCTTATAAGTTTTGTTCCTGTAAGAACTGCCTTTGTTCAAAACCTACTTTCTCTGTTACACAGAGATCTTATTTTCCAATCTCTTTTGTCTGAACCCACAAGATCAGGATTCTGTCCTAAATCTGTTTGGCCCTGTTAGAAGGGAGATGGTCCTTGGCCGTCTTGCCAAGTAATTGGTGCCCTTAATCTCCCAACTCCTAAATGCCTCAGCAACATGCAAGATACATAGATATAATTAGTGAATGCCTTCTAATAATTTTGCTAAGTCAGTTGCTAAGTTTCCACCTGAACACCAGGCTGATTAGCATGCAAGTTCACCAACCTTTCTAATTTATTTGTTTTACTCACTTGATTTCTCTGACCTCTTTTTTTCTCTGATTTTAATAAAGCTTTATAAATTGGATTCTGGAATATGAACAAAAGAACATTTTCTCTCTGGTGGAATGTTTGGTCTCTAGAAAGGGGAATAGTAGATGAACGTTGCATATTGCCATCTGTGGAATTGTAGGTAACATTTAGTTTGGTTATCTCCTAGTTTAAACTTAGAGTTTCTCCAACTCAGGTAAGAACAGTGATACAAACAGAATGGTTGGGTTCAAACATTGTGTTAAGTCATGGTTTGCTTGACAGACTACAGCCCAAAGCAAACAAATTATGTCATACTGTGCTGAGTGAACTCAGCCAGAATGCAGCATACAAGACATTTCTAAGGAGTGATGCACAGAATCTTTATTGCTTAAAATTAGCGGGGCTCTGTATACATTCTGCCAGATAGTTTTCAGAAACTCAGTTTAATTTCTTAAACTGACTTAAACTCTAACACGATTAATAATAATTGCTGTAGAACAATTTGGTAATGTTTCACTGATGTAACATTTTACAGAACTTTATTCCCCCCTTCCCCTCACTGCCAAACAACTTATTACCATTCATGTGGATACCCTCGATTCCATTAGGGAAGCCTACACACGCTTATGGTGTGACTAGGATTGATCACAACAGGAAGCAACATCCTATGAAGCCACAGGGACATTGGCATACACCTAAAAACAAGATTACAGTATATGATGCCTACTCCAATTACTCTCTAATAGACAACAGTGGCCTTTGTTCTATATAGAATTGTTAGGTCAAAATTGCAAAAAGGAAATATGTATCAAAATAATATTACCCTCAACAAATATGACATATAAAAGATATCTCACCTGTCCTGCAGAATTTAGCTCTGATAAAGCAAATGAGCATTCCCTTATATTAAAATACAACATTTAACAACAGAAGGGCAAATATATTCTAAATTACTTCTATAATACTTCGAGGGAGATTCATATTTTAAATGCAGTATTTGTGAGCAAATGCCCACTTTAAATTATGCAATCATTATAGATAAAATATTGATGTATTATGTAATTAATATAAATCAATAATTTCCCTACTGTTTACAGTTCAGAAAGGTGCAGAAGAGGAAAGTTAGCTAAAGTTAAAACAAGCAAATGTTAAGTACTACCTCATCCATTACAATGTCACTATAAAGTTAACATTTTAAGAAGAAAATCATCTAAAAATTATTTCAAGGAGACAAGAAAATTTAAATTTTAGTTACACTCATTTTTGGCACTCAAAGTTAGAAGAATGATGAATCCATCCCTGTAAGAAGAAGAGTGAATGTTGCTAATATGAGAAAATAAAATACCTGATTTTAAGAATCTAGATTATCTGGTCTTGTGTGTGAAATGGACCTACGATATTAGAAATTCTCTAAAGTTCAGTTTTTATTTCCATTACTTGTATAAGAGTCCTGTTCATATGTAGTTTACTACTACGAATTCATTCCAGTTGGCTATCCCTCTTACATTATGGATATATATAGTACTATATAAAATGTTGAAAAATTAGTTTTTTTGCATAGGAGCAGGTCTATCTTAGTAATTGATATTTAAAGATTCTTAATGCATTTTTATGTTCACAGTGTTATCAAGTCATGTTTTTGCATCAGTATTTAAATGGGGAGTAAAAGAAATGAGGGAACTGAAACATACATAAATTGTACCTGTTCAGTTTTCAAAACTGAATTGATAAACCCAGGACTGAACACAAGGGAAAGAGAACCCACAAAAAGAATGGGGTGCAGAGGATCTGCTTATCAGGTCTTTGAATTTTAAGGGGGAAAAAAAATCAAAGGAAGTCACATTTCATTGGGTGGAGCAGGAAACTGGAAATTAGGAATGTTCTACCTGACTCACTGCACCATTTCAGCCTTATGGCGTACTGCTCTTTGTTTCGTTTTCTCCACCTACTATGAAAGGGATAATGAACATTAATGAAAGATGCATTATGAAGCACTATCATAGCATTAGTAGTATGGAAGGGAAACTAAGGCAACTAAGTGGAGCACGGTTAATTGATCTCGCCAGGGGCAGGGCTTAACTGTCCTCAGATGACATAACCGGATGTATGATTAATTGCAGGTTCAACCAGGTGAACAAGTGTTCATTATTGAATAAAAAGATAGCCATTGTTATACACATTCTGAGGGAAAATATATAGATCAAATTTAACCCTCCAGATTAAAAGAAACTAGAATAGTTCCCTCCCCGCCTTTACTCTGTGTACTTCAGATTCTCCACCTTTTTTTCTTCCCCCACTTAATGAAATTACAGTAAGGGGTTCAGGTGGTTCTGGAATACAGTCTTCTTCCCTTTCCTGCTTTATAAAGTCTCTTCCACATAAAACCACAACTACAGGAAAAGAGACAAAGTTGCTGACATCTGGATAAGGGCTGATTAAAATCAGTAAAGCAATTGGAGCCAATTGCAACTAACTTGGGAGGCGAGAGTAAACTAGGGCAGAAACAAAACTTAAAATGGAATAATTATAGTTCCTTTAATTGTAGCTTCTTTATACTACTGAATTTCTAGCTACTTTTCACTTGTATACATGTAC